GGAGGTGGAAGGCTGCTGTATGGAGTCCTATACGACAAGTCGCAGAAACTGCTGAAGGGGAAGGTGAATTGAGTCAGTTTGCAAAGGTGAAAGCCATCCAGCTGGCTTTGGATATTGCTGAATGAGAAAAGCGGCCAGTACTTTACCTCTATACTGACTCATGGATGGTGGCAAATGCCCTGTCGGGGTGGTTACAAGCAATGGAAGCAGAGTAACTGGCAGCGCAGAGGCAAACCCATCTGGGCATCGTGGCAAGATGTTGCTGCCCAGGTAGAGAACCTGATTGTAAAAGTACATCACATAGATGCTCACATACCCGAGTCAGGCCACTGAAGAATATCAAACCAACCAGCAGGTGGATCAGGCTGCTAAGATTGAAGTGGCTCAGGTGGATCTGGACTGGCAACATAAAGGTGAATTATTTCTAGCTCGGTGAGCCCATGACTCCTCAGGCCGTCAAGGAAGAGACGCAACATATAGATGGGCTCATGACTGAGGGGTGGTCTTGACCATGGACATTATTGAACAGGTTATCCATGAGTGTGAAACATGCGCTGCAATCAAGCAAGCCAAGCTGTTAAAGCCTGTTTAGTATAGAGGATGATGGCTGAAATATAAATATGGGGAGGCCTGCCAGATTGATTGTGTTACACTCGCACAAACCACCAAGGCAACTGCCATGTGCTTACAATAGTGGAAGCAACCACTGGATGGCCGGAAACATATCCCATGACCCATGCCATTGCCCAGAACACTATCCTGGGCTTTGAAAAGCAAGTCCTATGGTGACATGGCACCCCAGAAAGAACTGAGTCAGAGAACAGGACTCATTTCCAAAACAACCTGATAGACACCTGGGCCAAAAAGCACAGCATTGAGTGGGTATATCACATCTCTATCATGCACCAGCCTCCGGGAAAATCGAACACCATTGCCCAGAACACTATCCTGGGCTTTGAAAAGCAAGTCCTATGGTGACATGGCACCCCAGAAAGAACTGAGTCAGAGAACAGGACTCATTTCCAAAACAACCTGATAGACACCTGGGCCAAAAAGCACAGCATTGAGTGGGTATATCACATCTCTATCATGCACCAGCCTCCGGGAAAATCGAACAATACAATGGACTGTTAAAGACTACTCTGAGAGCAATGGGTGGTGAGACATTCAGACACTGGGATACATATTTAGCAAAGGCCACCTCGTTAGTCAACACTAGCAGATCTGCCAGTCGAGTTGGCCCTGCCCAATCAAGGCTTTTACGTACTGTAGAGGGGGATAAAGTCATAGAATCATAGAATCATTAAGGTTGGAAAAGACCCTTAAGATCATCGAGTCCAACCATTAACTTAGCACTGCCAAGTCCACCACTAAACCATGTGCTCGAGCACCATGTCTATCTGTCCTTTAAATACCTCCAGGGATGGAGACTCCACCACTTGCCCGGGCAGCCTGTTCCAATGCCTGACTACCCTTTCGGTGAAGAAATTTTTCTTAATATCTAATCTAAACTTCCCCTGGTGCAGCCTGAGGCCATTTCCTCTCATCCTATCACTTGTTACTTGGGAGAAGAGACCGACCCCCACCTCACTACAGCCTCCTTTCAGGCAGTTGTAGAGAGCGATTAGGTCTCCCCTCAGCCTCCTCTTCTCCAGACTAAACAACCCCAGCTCCCTCAGCCACTCCTCGTAAGACTTGTTCTCTAGACCCTTCACCAGCTTCATTGCCCTTTTTTGGACATGCTCCAGCACCTTGATGTCCTTCTTGTAGTGAGGGGCTCAAAACTGAACACAGTACTCGAGGTGCTGCCTCACCCCTGCCAAAGTTCCTGTAGAGCACATAAAAAAATATGCTGGGGAAGACAGTCTAGGTTACTCCCGCCTCAGGCAAAGGCAAACCTATTCGTGGAATTGCTTTTGCTCAAGGACCTAGGTGCACTTGGTGGGTGATGCGAAAGGATGGGGAAGCCTGATGTACCTGTAGCCTGTGTACCTCAAGGGGATTTGATTTCGGGTGAAAATAGCCAATGAACTGAATTGTGTAACGTTAATTGCTATATAATACTGTACGTCATCACTTCTATGGTGGCTATATGCCATATCAACAGTATTACAGTAAGAATCACCCAGATTAATGAAGAATGAACTTTGATGACACCAAGCAAAATGCAGCAGTGATGGAACCAGAACTGGCTTCAGCATGTAACAGTCCAACACTGCACACCATCTCTCCTGCCCTGAAAGACTGTTATGACAGATGGAGCCCAAAGTCATGGACTAAATTAACTCAACAAACATCAGTTGGCAGGTGGTGAACAATTGCATCATGCAACACTTGCTTTGTATATTATTATTATTACTACTACTACTATTTTACTTTATTTCAATTATTAAACTGTTCTTATCTCAATCCGTGAGTTTTCTCACTTTTACTTTTCCGATTCTGTCCCCCATCCCACCGCGGGGTGGGGCATGAACAAGTGGCTGTGTAGTGCTTAGTTGCTGGCTGGGTTTAAACCATGACGCCTTTCATTGACAGTCAGTTGTTAAGTCCATGTTACTGTGTAAGATTTTCCCAGTCCAAGCTGAAGTCCTGTTACATGAGCAACCTATAAATATGAAACAATAAACAGTTATCAAATCATACATCACATCCATCTTTCCTTCAGTCAGCAGAGATGCCGGTCCTCAGGAACAATACATTTTGCTATGTGATAACTCACAAAAAAACCCTGTCCCATAACATTTGATATAGTCTCACTTTTACAAGTAACAAATAACATGCAACTGATATTCCTGCAGATAAAATCTGAAAAATTAAGAGTCTAAAAAAATGGAGTCAATCGCACAGCTTCCTTGGAAGCAAAAAGGAATAAAGATAGGGGCACAACTCCTTCACGTTTTGAAATATGAATGCAAGAGGTAAGAAAAAATTTAAATATTTTTACTTTGATTCAGTAACTGAAATAAAATAGCAGGTAACTCAGGTGCTTGTAATAATTAAAGCAGGTGTACAATGCAAGTTCAAAGCAATGCCAGCACTACCCTTAGTGTGGGAAAGCACTTTCATGAGTTTCCCACTAGCAGCAGCATGGTCGCTTGCTTTGCGCATAAATGCACTGTGTTGTTGCTTTCCTGTATTCATCCTGTGAAAAACTCTGTATAAAGTGATAAAACAGGTTTAAATAGTGCACTTGATTTTGTTTTAAAAAACTCAATGCACTAATACTCATCTAAATCATAAATATTTTGTATCCTCCTCCAGTATCAAACAAAATCACAAAGCTATTCCTCCTCTTAGAAATTAAATTTTGCTACATGAATAACTACATAACTAAACTTTGTTACGCTGAAGGTCTGAGAGCAAAACTTAGATGCACTTCATATGCAGCTGAGTTGAATGTGATTGTACTTTTGTTCTATAATAAAATACACAACATATTCTGTTGAAATGACGTTAGTACTGAGTACTGTCCTTCGCGATATATAAAATGAAAGTGATGCAATTTCAAACATGTTTACTTTCCATTTTCGTATTATTGTTTTACCTTTTCTAGAGGATAATAGGTGATATTAAGTGAAGAATTTTCCCCAGCATTGTTTGGAGATACAGTAACTGCTGTTATTTCCTGGAGTGCTCCCAATATCTTGATTTCTTCAAATTTCAAGTTGTTAGGATCAGCATAATTGCTGTTTATAGCATTCATTCGTAGAACATTCTGAAAAATAATAGAGTGATCACATTCTTATAAAAAAAACCTGCTAAAAATCCTCTTGATTTAACAATTTTTTCTAATTAGATCTTCATACTGTGGCATAAAGTAAGCCAATACGTTTTCCCTAACATATTAATTACTGCCCTGTGTGTTGTTCTCACAATAAGGTTTTTCTAAGATATATATAATATGCTTCAGAGTTGTGTTTCAGCTTCCTTTATTCACTTGTTTTGGAAATAAGAAAAGGCTGACACATGTCTGTGGCAGAGCAGATAACCTCTACTCTACTGTGATCTCGCTGGGATTTAACAAGTGAAGGTTCATATTAAATTTTCCTGATATAAGAATACCAGTTCCTATTCAATTGCATTAGTTATTATTAGATTAGGAGTCCAAAGAGCAGAACTGTACCATGGCTGCCACATACGCCAATGTATAACTTTCTTATTACTCTCCACATGAAAGTCTATGTTAATTTTTAATTCAACATCATTACAGTCAACTGATGATTTGGCTAAAAGAGTTTCAAACTTCAACAGTAACTGAGGTTTCTTCTCTACAAAAGATTATATGATTACATATGATTAAAAAAATTAAATAATGCATGTGTTTCCACCTTCTATTCCTTTGCTTTCAATCCCATGTTTCTATGCATTCACTCTCAGTTGTTGCCATGCTTTTTCACCATGGCAAGGACAAGAATACCTTTGGCAGATATTACTATTATACAAAAAATATGTTATCATATTACTTGGAATCCTTGCCATATGAGAACTCTGATCAATATTGAATAGAAACACTGTCTGGACTTCAATCTGCCACAAATTAACCCTGCCAAGGCAGTTTCAGTTTAAAAAAAAATTAAAAACTAGAACTTAGTCATGAAGTAGATTCTGTGGGTTCAGACAAGGCCTAGGTCTTCCTCTCACTCTTTGGAAACATTCAGCTCTATTTTTACAGTTGTATAGAGGTTTTTTTTCAAATTTCCAGTATTTCAAGAATCCCAAACACTACATTCACCTCCGTTTTGACTCTGTTTTAACTGCCACTGATGCTTTACAGTTCTCTTGCTCAAGAAATATTGCTGCTCAGTTTGTTATGTGAAAGGAAACAGGTGTTCTTTAGATACTTATATTAACTGGAAGAAGAAAAGGCAAATAGCAAATTTTCATCCCAGTTAAATTACAGTAATTTGAACATGACTCCTCTTTGACTTTGTCAAATATTTTGCTTCTCGGTAAATATTACAGGAGAGTAAGGAGGGAGAAAAGAATGCCCTTTGAAGATACTATTGACAAACACTGAAAATGCAAATACAATCATTTAAAATAAAATACTTACGTTGGAAACTGTAAACTCATAGTAAGTGTAGGCTTTATTTTCAACTGTACCTAAAAGGTAAAGAAAGTAGTTACACTTGCCGTGCAGAAAGGAACGGCATTAAAACCAAGTCTGTGCCACTGCTAGAGACCAATAAATTGCTAATTATTATCATTACTGTGTTCAGAGGCTGCACTGAGCAGATTCTGTATGAACTCCAAAACAATATAAAATTATATTTTTTCAATGAGGGAAAAAGTTAGTTTTTACATTTAACATGCTGCTATACTCAAATATTTATTTTATTTTGTCCAGTTCTACTGGTGGTTTCACCTGTTCTCAAGTCTTGATTTGTATTTTGTATTCTTTTAAAGCTCAGAATTTAAGATTCATTATCTTAACCCCTGTGGTAGAGGATTTCCCATTTCTAACAGAAAGGAATTAAAGCCTTTTCTTTTTGCCTGTTCATTGGGAATGTGGGAGGTTTTTTGCCATTGTAACAGCCTTTCACATTTTCAAAATCTCTTTAGAATTTTCTCTTTTCTATTGCAGTTTAGATAACACAACTTTTTCCTATGAGGCATGTTTTCTAGATCTGTAACTGTTCTTGCTGCTCTCTTTTGGTCTCCTATTTACCTAAATCTGTGCAGAGGAGTGAAATTTGTAAGCAGATTGATCTCTCTAGCTAAGGCCCACCAAAGTTAAGAGGAACGTCATATTTTTTCCCCTATAACCTTAAGAACAGATTTTTCTGGCCAGAAATGCACTTTCCACAGGAATGAAGGAATGCAAATTACACATAAATTTATGTATATTAAGGCTAAGTATATGTCATAGTAACTTGACTTGGTTTGTCTTCTCTGTACATTTTCTTCTTCAGGCCAAATACAAGCTCATGATTTAGCCACGTTAAGCATTCACTAAAATTTCCATCTGAAAGTTTTCAGTTTTGCTCTTACCATTGTTTCTTTGAGGAACTGACAGTTCTCTTACGCTTCTTTTTTCCTTAGGCCAGTCTCCCAGCAGATTCAAATTTTCCAAAGTTTTCCAAAAATGTACTGATACAAGCTTTTCTAAAATATACCTATCTTTTATTTTACTGTTATTTTTTATCTTCTCTTAAATGTAGATGTATGGCTCAAAGTTAATCCTGTAAAATACCATAAATAAGCACTTTTCATGCAAAAATAACAATAATATTAATAATCTATGCTATGGAACCATAAGAGAGGAAATAACACAACACTGTGAAAATGAAATACAAAAGCTGAGTCAAGAAATCTGGCATTTTTTTTCCATGTACGAAAAGAAAAATACTGTCATTGGAAGCAAATTGTAAACCGTTTCCCTGAAAAGACTTCAACCTGTAAGTTTTGGGCAGGAATAGAGGCTTAAAAGTTTTTCTGGGAGATATGATAGGTATAGTTAAAATATCAAAAGGGAGTTATACAAGTTGAATGCATAATGTAGAGGAAAAGGTAGCTATGCAATTAGGAAAGGGGGGATGCAATTTTGAACCCCACGTGTTGCTTGCTGTCATGGAAGTTTACTCAGGGGGCCCTGCACAAGTGAAACAAATATATTGTGACTAAGGACAAAAGTAGCTTTTAGCAACAGGAGGATAAGCTAGAGAAATTTGATCACTTCAGTACCTAGAGGAGGTGGCTGGGTGTATCAGAAGACAGAGGTAAGAATGCACCAATTCAGATATCGCCTATGGATGGGCAGTGGTGAGGTCAATTTACATGAGAAAATCTGTCATCTCCTGAACATCTAAAGATCTCTTCTGAAAACATGCATGCATAGTTAGGCACCTTGTGCATAAAATACCTCCATGAATCACGATCTGTGGGATGCAGACCTAATTTTCAGGATTATAAATTAAACATGCACATAATATTGTAGCATTATTTATTTTTACCTCAAGGCTAATATTACCCCAACTTCATTCTTATCTGTACATTCTTACTGTTGCAGATTTTCTTATTTTCTAACCTACATTTTATTCCAGTGTAGCTAAAGAAAGCTCCGACGCTTTTGCCATTGACAGCAGCCTATGGATACAGTAGGACATGAATTAGAGAAGATCACGTCTACTTCAAATGCAACAGTATTAACTGGCATACACCATGAACCAAAGCCCGTAGCTCTGAATGTTATGGTTCGTTGCAAATAAAACAATAAAATCTGTCAAATACAAGTCCTTAAATCATTTTAATAGAAGCCTTGAGTATTTTGTAAAGCTTCTTCAAAAAAATCATTTCAGGATAACCCTTTGAACTGCTTGCTGACTTTTCTTAAAAGTATGTAATAAAGGAGAAAGGCTGCAAAAGCATCCTAAAGGACTTAAGTACCCGAAATCCTTTTAGTTTGATGGAAACAGGATGCCTAAATCATCAGAAATCCCACAGAAAATCCCACCATTCAAGATGCTTCAGTTTTCAAATTTTCCTTCATCTCAAGACTAAAATGAATAATGTATCTATGGATATATAATGGAGAGGTTCTGTCCATTGCTCTAGAATGAACTCTGCTTTCCTTAGACACGCATGTATTCCAAAGTCAACTTTACTGAAAGCCAAAAAAAATTTAACCTTATATTAAAGGTGTGTGTTGTGTCTGTTTGTTTTTGAATTTTAACGTCAGTTCAGTTAAGTTGCAACCTTAATCTTACCCTAAGCAAAAAAGGTGTGTGTGTTGTAAATTGTTTGACAGAAAAAAAAACTGGTGAGGTAGAGTAGTATCGCTGCCAGTGCGTCACAAGAGATGAGGTTGACAGGCCTTGGCATAATCACAGTGACTACCCCAGGGCGAAACAAGTTCTCCGGCAGCTTTACTGAAGGCGAGGTTGGCAACATGACAAATACAGCCCGTACACGCTTACTCGCGTGCTTATGCGCCACTATGCTGTGGAAACCAGATGGCACGAAAACCGCTGGCTCCAATACCATACTTCTGAGTTAACAAAATTTCTACTGTTTTCACAAGCAATTTCAATAATTCCACAGAGTTAGCAACAGTGCTAGTTTCTCATTTTCTACTCATTCTCAGTGTCGAACACTAATTACGTGCGTTCTTGCACCCGTTGAAACTAATTTGGATATACACCAGAATAGATATCAATCTTGACAGTGTGGTTTAACAGTCAGCATGCCAATGTACCAAACCTTTACATATTTAAGGCTATAGTGAAACCTGAACAAGAAAAAAAATTAAGAATAGTTACAGTTTTCCACTTAAAAGTGGTGAAAACCGCTTGGCATAGGAGCAAGTATTAACAGCGTGTTAAAACAATGTCGTATTCTTGCTCCATGAAATGAGCGGGAAGATTGAAACTTTTAAGGGTTAATGCCTTGTTAAGCATACTTATTTCACTCTTGATAACTGCTCACCTGTAGATTCTCCATCATCCCAGAACAAGTCCCCAGAAGCTGCGTTGCTGTCGTCCAGGGCAATTATAAGTCCCATTGGATTCTTGCGGCTGTGGAAAGAGAGACTCTCTGTCTTACACGTATAATAAACACCTAAACAGCCTTAATACATCCTTCACGTTCCTGTTAAGAACATGGCACTCAACAGGGTTGCGACACTTTGAGAATTGCCTTAGATATTACTCCTTGGCTGTCTTTCATTTTCATGGAAATTGATTAAAATACACGGCAACTTTGCAAAACGCTGTGCAAATAAACCTGTAATTAATCACTGAACTTGTAATATAAACAGTTGTGGAAGTCATGTGTGGCTCACAGTTATTCCCATATTTCAAGGTGCAAGTGCTAAATACAAAGGGCTGCTTCTGATTTGGAGGTCCTCAGCCCAGCCTTGGAAAAAACAAAACAACACAACACCCCACAAACATAAAAGCGTCTAGTTTTGAAGGGTACCTTGCAACTGTTGTGTTAGCTGGTTGTTGAGTAGGGTAAATATAGCCTCCTCTCAGATGAAGTCCCAGTTTGTCTGCCGGCAGGTTCATACTGGTCCATTGTTTCCTCACTGGGATTTTTGCCCCCTTGTTGACAGGGATGTAAAAGAGAACAGGTACGTTGCATTACGCGCAGCCGTGAAGGTTTTCTTAAGTCCTGGGTTTCACCTAAGTGCTTCCTCTCAGAAAAACCTTAAGTCGCATAAATATCTATGTGCCAGTGGGCACACAGCGTAAAACAACTGCGTGTCCATATGATCTAACGTCATAAATCAACACCTCTCGCTATTTGGTTTTGGCTCAGGCGGTGGAGAGAGCAAGTCCTGGGGGGACTCTGACGTGAATATGGGAATCGGACGTGAACAATGTCCTTTTTCACCCATCCAAAGGATCGTCACAGCAGCGGGAAACTTATTTGCAGAAACGAGATCAGTTAACAATAATTGCAAACTCTCCTGTATTATATTTAGAATTATTCTATTTTATTTCAAACATGGTCTTTGCTAAAGTTTCCACTCAATCTCGCTTCCCATCTCCTGCGCTATATTCCACGCCTCTGTGTCCTTTTCTTGAGGCGGTGATTCATGCGCTTAACCCACCACCCTTCACCCCTTGTCTCACCATTTTCCTTTCTGTGGGCTTTACTTTAGGTCTCTGACACCAAAACAGGACTGACAATCTTATTTTGTCACATAACCATTTAGAAAATCTCCCCAGAGTATCCTCTGCATTTACCTACTGTATCATACTCATACCAGACTGCATCAGGAATGTACGCTTGAATTGTATCCACACCCTGAAACGCGAACAAAGACAAGACTGTCAGCTCTACAACGCAGCAGCTCACTTCAGGCAACCCAAAGTCACAGTCCTTCAAATCCAGTTGCTCAGATCACATCCACAAGTATCTCTAGATCATCTTTTTTCCCCCACTTTTTTCTGGCCTGGCATCTTTCAGATTCTTGCTTTCATTTTATGTATTTAACAAATGTTTTGTGTTTCTCCATGGCATGTGTGTTACTGGCATTAACAATCATTATTTACAAGATTCTGCCACAATAAGCCACAATCTGTTTTCTTGTCGCACCACAGACAAGCTGAAATGCAGCAAGAGAAGCTGATTCCGAAGGAAATTCAGAGATGAGACAAAGTTGAGGTGAATCAGAGTATCAGACCGGATGACTTTGACTCCCTAGAGGACTGGAAAATAGGAATGGGATTTAACAGCACAAAGCACAAGATTTTCCATTTCGGCAGTGATCAAAATATGCTGTGAGCTCTCTCACTGGGAGCAATAAGTGGAGGGGGGCGGGGGGAGAAAAAGGAAGCAAAACCTAGGCTTGATAGGAATCCGTCAACAAGTAATGTGATGTACCCAGGAAAAAACAAATATAGTCTAAGGATCTAACAAAAACCTTGTTTGCACTGGAGATAGAGCTGTGTTAATGCTAACAAACAAGGCCCTCTGCAATCTCTTTGCCAATAGAGTTTACAGGTCTGGTCAAGACAGAAGAGTTCAGACTCACATAGGACCAGAGCAAGTTTCCTGGGATCCTCAGGGAAACGGCAGAGCCTATTTTTGCAGTTCAGCTTGTTCAGCATAAACAAGGAGGCAGAGTGTGATTTCAGCAGGGAATACAGATACCGTCACGTCACTTCATCCGAGTAGAACCTGGGCAAGGGGGAAGGATATAGCAGTAACCGTTTTTTCATGAACTATACCATCACCAGCAATCCCAATATTTCAGGGTGCCCATTGTCTAGAATCATGACTAAAGAGCATCCGACCAAAATGGCCTTTTTTGTTTGTTTGTTTGTTTGCTTGTTTTTTTAATCCGAGGCAATCTGAAGGTGAGAAGGTAAGGTCGTACTAGTTTACTTAGTATTCTCTACCCATGTGTGAAAGTGTAGGCGTGCGTGTGTTCTTGACACAGCTTATTCAAGAGTTTCCAGGCAAGGAAACATATATTCTAATACATGTATATGATGGTGGAGAATAATTTGATGAGCTGGCAATAACATCTCATAGCAACTCGTAAGAGTGACTGACAATAATGTATGCGTATACGCAGAAATTACAGACGGTTTTTTGATTACTCTTCTGATTACTCCAAAAAGGTATTTCATGAACTGAGAAGCTGTCTATATATAGTCCAATGTGCCTTCTCACAGACTACATCAGTGTTTAGATAGTCCCTAACCACACTTGATGTGTCCCATTTTTTTATTCCTCATAAAATTATCACAAGGGCTGAGGAGTAAACTTACTCATGCAAAACTGGCCGTACAACTGTGTCTCCTTGAGTATGAGCTTTATAAAAGAGTGTATACAGGTAGGGCAGCAAAGTGTAGCGAATGTTCAAGTAATACTTGGAGGTGTTCACCAAAAGTGAATCAGGTCCAAAGACAGCTGGATCCTGAGGCTGAAAACAAATATCAGATGATGATTATTTTCATCATGCAGAAAACACTCTGCCAAACACATGAAAAGTGGCTGCTTATTTCTGTACATCTGCACGGTGTTTGCCTTCTGGGTGGTGTGACCTGAGGTTCTGCTCCTCCAGGCTCCCTGTGCTTTGCACTGCACATCCCTCCTTGCCCATCTGGATTGAGGGCGCAGCAGGGTTAGCCCAGGTTTCATCCTGGCGTGCAGTCAAGTACATGCTAAAGGGCTCTCAAGAGTCAGTCTGAAGGGTCACACAGCAGTGAGTGCTTGCCTTTGGTGGTAGGCACAACTAATGGTGACGAAACTGTTGCCAAAAAAGTATAGTCTCAAGTACATGCAATTAACCCTCATGAATCTGAACCTCTCAGATCTAGGATTTCTTAAAGAGAGCTTAAGGTTCTGGCATTTTCAAACTGGTCAGCTACGTAATCATCAGTGATATTAATGATTACTAGTAATACTATTAAAGGGAATGTGCTAGTGTAACACAAAGCATTTTGTAAGAGAAAGTGCAACTTACTATGAATCCTTCACAATTGTGATTCCTGGAAAATGGGTAAAATGCTCCTACTTGCATCCATCGTCTGCAAAGTTCTTCTGTGGTGTTGTCAAAGAAACCACAAATATCTGCTCCAATCTTTAAATAAAAACAGAATGTGTTGGATGTGCAGTATGCTGCACCTCTAATCTCTACACAAAACTTCTAGTTTTCAGAGATGCATTAATTCAACCTTAAATGCTAGCCAGTGACTGAGCCATTCAACACATTTGTAGCTTTCTTCTTTCAAATTCAACTATGTTGTACAAAAAATTAAACTGATTACTAGCTAACACTGCCCATCGTTCTATTTCTTCCAAACCTTTACCTTCCTGTTTGATGCTAATACACATACATTAGGAAAAAAGCTCAAGAGTCATACAAATTTAAATCACAGAAAGGATTTTGGCTATTTGCCTTATAAATGGATGTCTCTAATTTGAAATGATAAGAAAAAGAGAAGTGTTTCCCATCAATTAGTAGCATTTAAAAATTACTAGAAGTAGCAGGTAGATTGGGATATTTAAGATAATATGTTTGTTACCCACATTTATCTCACCATATACACACAGCCACAGTAATCAAAATAAGTGGCCTAAACCAAAAATCAATAATTGGAAAAAAATATTAAAACCAGATTCCTAAAGGGGATTAATTTGGAGATGAAAATGTAAGATAGCATTTCATTAGATAATCCGTTACCACAGAAGTAGTTACTGTTTATCGGTATATTTTGAAAGGGTGTCACAAACTTATGTCATACATAAGGAATTCCAAAGAGGTTAAAGTCCAACATTCCAGGTATTGCCCATTTTAAGTGATCCCATGTTGCTGCATTATCTCCCAGCCAGTGTCCTGTGTGCTTTCCTGATCCGATATAAGTAGACCTCGAAATAAGGAAGCTTCGTTTTCCAGGAAACAGTGCTTCAATGACTCTTAAAAGGAAGCGAGACTGGAATTATACAAAGGAAAAAAGACAACTCGGACATTAATAGTTTTATATAAGGCAGATTTACACTGACTGATTTACAATAGTTATTCATCCAGGGCCATGGACTCCTTTACAGTTAACCAGGTGTCTTTTAGCAAAGTTCAAGAGATTAATTTTAAATAATCTTTCTGTATAGCTTTGACAACCAATGTATGGCTTTTACTGCCGACTTTAGTTAGCAGATTTTGCCTTAGCTGCATTGGGTAGTATCTTCCAGGAATTGGGTTCCTTTAGAAGTGAAATCTCTTGCTGTTTTGGAAAATGCAGGCCATGTACTGTTCTGAAAACTTTTTGTGAAGATTTTAGGATTCATTCCTTACTTTTGTGTTGATATGGCCATGGAATATCCATAAAGATTGTGGACATCATAATGTTTCCCCCACTTCTGCACTGCATCCATACAAAGTGTCTTGGAAAACATGAGTTTATCAAGAATACCTTCAATAAAGGAATAGAAACATCACTTTTAAAGTACATTTTTATTATGAATATTTGCAGTCTTTTCTTTAATGCACATTCATGACATTCAAGTCCTTTTTTCTCTCAAACATTAAGTTCACACTAAGGCCAGTATTACTACTACAAAACCAAAATGCTACTCTTGGCTGCTGGTTTGATCTGTGCTCTGTGACCTTTTCTACTCTTGAGCTTTGCACCCATGCAAGGAATAATTGAGAACTACGCTCTAAATTTCTGAATCATTATCTGACAACACGTTGGCAATGGTTAATTAAACCTACTACTTAATACAAACTATGAACTCCGTTTTAGTTCTGCATACATCTCAAAAATTACTGATAGTAAAAGAAGATCATTATATTACCAGACATAATTAAGGCAACAACAATATTCAGTAATAATTTGAAAAGGAAAAAAAGTCAGTTATATAAGCCACACCTTTGACGAGGGCCAAAGTATACCGGTATTTTCTGTCAATAGTAATGTTCAAACCCCATCCATAAGAACTACACTAAAATCACTTGGCATCTTTGTAGCCAATTGCACAGCAATTCATAAACTTTTTGGTATTTTGCTTTCTGCTTAAAGTAGATGGACTTACTGGGAGTGAAAGGAGGATAGTTTAAGTCATTCTGCGCACAACCATTTTTTGAGCCTTTAACGAAGTTGGACACTTCATTCATATCCTGAAAAGATAAGATGCAGAATGTAATGAAGTTTCCTCAAGTACATTTTCCTAACAAAGTCTTATGTTCTATTCTCTTATTCTTTAAGGAATAACTACTTAGAACTATTACCATACAATTAGGCAAGAATGGTATAACTCGGATACTAACCTGGTCCATTCCTGTACTAATGTAGGTCTCAGTGCTGGACATACTTCTATATGCAGGTGAGTGTCATGTTGCAAGAGCTGCACCTTATCCCTCCACAGAAAGAAATTGCAAGAGGTGCTCATGTATACCTTCTCCCTACCTATGACCAACTCTGCGCATCTCTCAAGGAAATGCCTTTGGTATGGAGCATGTGTTTGGAGAGAAATGCAGAACCAGCAAAAGTACTTTGTGACTTTCTGTCAAAATACACAAGGTGACTAGATATTCTTAAACATCTGTTTTATAGTACTTTCCAAGCCATTATACTTTCAAAATTTGCTGTCTCCTTCCATGAATATTTTATTGGCAGTTCTGTAAGTGCATTTCTATGTGCATCCCTGAACATGCTGCAGGAAAAGCATGCATGGAAGAAGAGAGAAAATTCATCACAGAGGCACTGTAGTCCAGTTACCAATTTGCTTTACTCAAATTATTTGCTCTCTGTAAGAGATCTATGCAGTCTTACACTTCATAGCTTGACTTGATGGAACCAGAGTCAGCAAAAATAAGTGAGAAAAACTCATTCTATCACATAGCAGCTGAAGGACTGTATTTTGCTATACAGGTTAATATAAAATTGTTACAGCTTTTTAAAATGCATGGCAAAATATTCAGTAGATTCTTGTTTTCTTTTGAAATATTTATTTTTAAGTAAAAGGAAGTAGGAAAAACACTAAAAGAATAAAGGGAAGAAGGCACTGACATAAGGATTGAGAAGTTTAAGTACAGATTTCCTTCAGGCACCTACTTTTATTTTAAAGGAATATCATGTAATAAAGCTTCTAATCTGGTCAGTCAAAATAGGTCTTAATCTCATCTGATTTCCATGAACTGTACCTAAAATCCACTGTGCCAGACTATTTTAGTCCTTTTGTGGGAAAACCTGTCTAGGGAGCCTGATTTTTCCAAATCCTTATCTGCAACAGCAATTGCAGATTCACTAACTGGAAATTCCATGAGCTACTTGGAGCACAGATACATAGGTTATATGTATTATACCCTGTATTCAGGACCTGTTTAGGACACATTCACTGAGCAGGTATGCAGGTCTCCAAATATTGCCATTCTGAGTACAAGAGTGTGCTAGCATCTGCCTTCATCAATTGAAGCATTTTAAAGTGTCACTGAACATCCAAAAAACAGCACACTAATCATTTAAATGCCACGATTAATGATTCAAATTAAAATTTAGAATTCAACACCAGAAGACATACACAATCCTGCACTGATTTCAGGTTAGTAATAGCAAACACCCTTTTCAAATTCAATGCAAAATGAATTTGATAAACATCTATCCTTGCTTATTTTTAAAAATAAAAATGAAAGTTCTGAATTACTTACAATCCAGATCCCATCATACGGCACTACATTATAAAACTGTTTGCATTCATCCACCCACCAGCTAGTGCAGTCTGGGTTGGTGAAGTCTGGGAACACAGTTTCCCCTGGCCAAACCTGCAATATTAAAAGGGAAATAATTAAACTTTTAATGATATTAAAAAGAGTTCATAGAATCATAGAACAGCCCTAGTTGCAAGGGACCTTGAAAGATCATCTGGTCCCACCTGTCATGGGAAAGAGAACCCAGAAGAGATCATCTAGCACTCTGTCCAATTGCATCTTGAAAAGCTCCAGTGATGGGGACTCTACTATGACCCTGGGGAGGGTGTTCCAGTGATTGATTGTTCTTACTCTAAAAAATTTCCAGTGCAACTTGTACCTGTTGGCCCTCATGTTCTCCTTGTGGTTCCTTGTGAAGACAGAGCCTCTGTCCTCTTTGTAGCTGCCCGTTAAGTACTGGAATACTGTGAAGTAGTCCTCCCTGAGCCTTCTCTTCTCTAGGGAGAAAAGACCTAATTCCTTCAGTCTTTCCTAATAGGACCTGATGGTCCTCCAGCCCTTTGAACATTTTTGTGGCCCTCCTTTGGAACCTCTCCAGTCTGTCTGTGTCTTTTTTGAATTGTGGGGACCAGAACTGGACACAGTACTCCAGGTGCAGCCTTGGCAAGCACTGAGTAGAGTGGGATGATCACATCTCTGTTTCCGCTAGTAATGCCCCTGACAACGAAGCCTGGGATCCAATTTGCTTTCGCTGCTGCAGTATGAAACTGCTGACTCGTGTTCAGCCTGTTGTCCACAAGGACCCCCATAGTTAGCCATCAAGGGCAGTGCTAATATAGTGCCCTGATGAAGACTTTTGAACAACAGACTGCTAGACTGACAATAGCTTGCATGCAGAAAGAAGGCAGAAAGAGTATGAGTTTCTTAACTTTGGAGTTTTCAATTGCTTTTCTTTTAAGTCATACAAGGAACAATACACACTATTGAGAAAAATTTCTCAATAGAAGTCAAAATTATAAATTAAAAGGATAATGTGGGAGCTGGCTCTTCAGTCACTACTGAAAATAAATAGAAGCTGGCTGGTGAGTTGTCCCTTGAGCCTTCAAGCTACCTTAGTTTTCCTTTTTATTTAATGTAAAAAATTGCAAAAAAAAAAAATCAAGAAAGGCTGAGAAGTATCATATCCTAAATGAGACCTTACAAACTTAATTCTCATTGGCAGGTAATTTTACTGAAAGAAGCAACTTAGAAAACGAAAGTTTAAAAGGAGCCCCCTGACCTAAATTAAACCATAACAGTGACAACAGACCAAGTTCAATTTTATAAAAACGCAATTACCTCCCCAATTAATGCTGTTACTCCATCTGATTCATTAACCCAGACTTTTTTGCTCTCTCCTCTGATGTAGCTTTCATATGGACTACCGTCAGCTAGATTGTGTATGCTAATAGCAGGATCCTAAAAAAAAATTACAAAACAAAAAATAAGAAGAAAACAGGATACACTCCATTATTATAGACTACTAGAATGTTGGGTAATAAATGTAATAATTACATAGAATAAGCAAATAATAATAAATAGTTATAATGATATATTTACAAGGGAAAAAGAAATAGTTATATGCTTACCAATATGATAATATATTTTTGGCCATAGTCATGCATATAAGCTGCAAAAGTAGGGAGATCTCGAAACTTCACTTTGTCATAAGTAAAATCTTTCTTTTCCTCCATATAGTCAATATCAGTGATCTGAGCATCCTGAAAGAGAAAGGATTTCAGCTTTAACATGAGAAGTGGTATGTTAAGATTTTGTATATGAGTCCGACACAACTTCTTCTGACAATTTCCATTTGTCCTATAGTGAATTTACTGTTAGGACTTTACTGCAGCCTGGCAGAAAGTATGCTGTCACGACCACTTGCAAACAATGTGCATCTCATCTCATACTTACAGCCCTAATTAATGGTACTGACACATCTTTTGTGTCTAAAAAGACCTGCATTTAACATTAATAGAATTTAAATGAATGTGTATAGTGGCATCCTTTCTAATAGCCCTAGGACATGTGACTATTTCATTGCAGTTGCCTGACTTCAAGAGCTATCGCCTTAAATCCAAACATTTCTTCCTGAACTCTTAGCTTAACATTAGGGTTTTTTTATTCTATTTAAGCCATCAGGCTAATGTAATCTGAAATCTAATTTTAAAAGTTAATCGTACTTTACCTTTGACTGTCAGTTAAGAATAATATATGGTTCCATAATTGTCCACAGGACAATTAAAAAAAAAAAAAAAATCATGGATTAGGTAACATGAGAAGATAAGTGGATATAGTTGGAAAGTACACCTGAAAAAGTATTACAATAAAGTTCTCAAATATAACTTACTGTAATTAAGCCCCACCATGTCCCACATTCTGATAATGGGTCTACCATTAAAATGCATAAAAGCCTTTGACACCAGAAGCCTGTATATTAGAAATTTACTAATTTAAACTGATGTTAAATGAACCAGTTGAGGAACACCATGGTCAGGATCTCAGGGTCATTTCTCCTGCAGAGCTCTGCCTTCACAGGGTTGCTGCCCTCCTCAAACCCCATACTTACATAAGGGAGTCCAATCGCTCTGTTTCTCTCCACAACTCTCTTCACCTCATCCAGAGAACCGTAATTCCAGCGGCTGAGCTGGAAGCCCAGGCTCCAGTAGGAGGGCAATGCTGGCAATCCCACGAGCTGCAAGTTGAGAGCAAAAATCCCATGTATCATCATTTCCCTAGATCCATACTCCTCAAATCTGTTTGAATAACATACACTAAGCTTGAGTGTGTGAAATAAGCAGCCCACTCCCAAATGTAATATTTTTCTATTATTTTTGTTTTATTTTAAGAAATACAAATATTTTGGGACAATGCCCATTCTTTAAGGTGTCCGTGAAACGTAAGTGGATCTCAAAAAGTACAAAAGATATCAGTGATATCTTATGACCATAAGAATCATGACATACCTGTAAGCACATTATCTACCCTGTAATATTGCCATATGAACAGGAATTTGTCCTTATAACAAGAGTGAGCCCCAGCAAGGAAGCATAAGTTATTCCATGTAGACCATCTCTTGCTCCAATGACCACTGTGTAAACCAGTCAGGCCATACAGATTGATGAATTTAGCAGATACAAACTTCTCTAGGCCTTGAGCTGCTGTATGGTCTCTGCTCCAGCATCTCCAGCAAAAGTAGAGCTTAAGTTTCAGCTGCCCATAACAGGCCGGCTAAAAACATCTACACCCCAGCTTAATCCCAGCTAGCTATTACTAATGACAGCAGTCACATTAGAGACATGCTAACAGCTATTCTTAGTTAAATATATACCAAGTCATATTTTGAGTTAATAGATAACATAGTGAAGACATACTGTCATAGAAAGCTGTGAGGAAAAAAACAAAAAAACAAAAAAACACAAAAACCACCAAAAAATCCCAAGCACTTTTAAAAATCTGTTCAATGCTTAGTCTCTCTAGCTAAAGGTACCTGCAGGTACTCCTGAACTACTTGCTCTGGAGTGTTCCCCAAGAACATATAGAAATCAAGGATCCCACCAGTGGTTCTGTAGGTCACCGCTGGAGCAGGCTGCACCACAAACTCTGCCAGACAAGAATGCACAAAACCAATTATGAATACCAGCTGATTCTAAAACAACTTTGTAATCTTCTAATTGATTATTAGAAAATACATTTAAGAAAAAAAAAAAAAAACAAAAAAACAAAACACAAACAAAAAACACCTAAGAAACCCAAAACCATTAATTGAACTTGCAATGAAGGGGAAATGTATTCAGATGACTCTCAAATGCCCATATTTCCACTCCTTTACACCCTACAGAGAAGAAAATCAGAAGAAATGCAATGGCTCAACCTTTTATCTTTAAATTTTTAGTTAACTGTGCGCTACTTACTGTTTATGTCACGTACGCTGAACACTACAGTTTTGATCCCAGTCCCACAGATCATTTAAAAAGATATTTAACTGCAATGCTCAGAGCTACAGAGAAAGCTTTCTTACCCATGGCATTGCTATTCATTAGAAAAACACCAAAGGAGGCTCCAGTGCTGTCTTCCAAACACAGGAAGAACGTTTGAACTCCATATAAGTTATGCATTGCCTTAAAGGACAAAAAGGAAAAGTAAGCTGATTAAAATCTAATAGCAGTATCGGTTCTGGGATATTTCAAAATACATCCCAGGAAGCACTTGAAACTTCTCAAAATAGAGCAAACAACAAAAATAAAAATCCTGACACCTTCCTACAGTTCTGTTTTCTCTTTCCTGGCATTCTTCTCCTTTACGAGAACACTTTCCATTAAAACAAAAGTTTCCCCAAACATATAGATAACATAAGCAAGCAGATATGATGGATCTTCAGGCAAGTCTGTATATATTGCAGTACTATTTCTGGGTAAAATATATGCACACCAAGCGAACAATAGAACATGAAGTGTGTTTTCATCACCTTTCAACAGAGATTAGATTTTATATCTAATCTATGTTTCTCTTAATCCTGCAAGGCAATCATTTTTACGTCTAATCTGTGGAAATAAGAGAGTGCCTTGCTTCTTTTTTATTTCCTTTCTAATTTTTTTTTCCGTTATTATTAGCACCAAAAACCTAGAAATGATAACAGTTGTTTTCATAGCTGTGCTTCTTCCCCTGCAAATGAAAACTCAGAACAAATTAATGAGAAACAGGACTTGAGCAATTTGAAATTAGCCTACCTTGATTCTGTTCATCGTTAGTTTAACTTAATGAGTCAACACTCAATAGAGCTATTCAGGTAAGAACTATCTTCAACCAGAGAAGATAGTGATAAGGTGCCTCAAGGTAAGAGGTGCAAATTCCAAACTATTAATTAATTATATATAGTGGTCTCACCCTCTATTTCAGTACCTAGGTCCTATCTCAGCAAAAAATACTGAAGTGCTCTCTCAAAGTAAAGCATACAGGTTGTTGCTTTATGAAACTGAGGTAACAGCGACAAATAGTCTTACAATTATTGAAAGTGGGTGCCACAGAAATCGTTTTGGAAAGAGACAGCCATAAAG